CTTACAATACCTTTTTTAATGACTTAAAAGCTTATAAAAATAAAATTGAATGGAGTTCGAACGTTAATTTATTTATTTTATCTTATAATTTATTTCATCTAATATCTAATTTGGTATTATAGTGGTTTTAATGCCGAAATTTGTATTTCTGGACAAAAAATTAAAGTTGCCAAAGTTTAAAATTCAGATTGAATTATTCGCGCTCTGAAGAATTTAGATATGATCCGGAAAACGCAAAACGCAAGACAATGGTGAGCGGCAAATTGTCGCAAAATTGCTCCAAATTATTTTTTTTCGCATCATCTTGTGGCTATCAACGTCTTGAGCTCAAAATTTTAATATGTTCTTTGATAACTTGTTGTTTTCGACAAAGTTTGCCAAATATGATGATTCGAAAATTGCCAAACTGAAAAATTTAGAATAAACTACTACGCGTGAAACTTCAAATTTCCTGAAAATAGCTGGCCTCAGCTTAACACAATTTTCATTAGGACAGTATGAACCAGTCAGAGCAGGTGTTTTTTGTGATGAGAGCAGATAAAAGCAGTCTTTTGTCATTCATAATTCTAAAGGAAAAAAATTACGTTTTTTGTTCCGAGCATTTAAAAAAAAGGGGAAGAACATTATATTTGGATGTGTTTTTATTTTTCTTTCTTTTTGTTTTCCACAAAAAATCAGCTACAAAAAATAGACATCAGAGAGAGTTGGGTGATATATCATATTGAAGCCCTTACAGCCATAATTCGAATCACGTTTGAAAACTTTAAAAAAGTTTCCACGTGGACAGAAAAACCGGTTTGAAATTCTTGGTGTTTCGTTTCAATTCGAGCAAAAAAAAACGAGCAAGTGGCTTAAAGAAGCCTATTTGAATAACTAATAAGCATATAAAAAATAAACTTAAAACGTAAAACTGAGTTTTACAAAGTAACAAGCTTTTTAAAACTTTCATTAAAACTTTTTTTTAAATTTAATATCAAAAACTATCAGAAGCAATATGTAAGTTAACATAGGTAGCCTAATCTTAGATTTGGGTGTGTTTCTAAACGCGCACGCTTGTGTGTGCGCAAGTTTGAGGGCATGTGTGCGAGTAAGTGGGCATGTGTTTGTGCGTTGTACACCAAAAATTTTGGTTTTTTGAGATTAAGAATATAATTAGACATATTAGCAGGATTCTAGAGGAAAATTTACGTATGAGGTGCTCATCGAATCAAATGAAACGTGATATGTTAATTTGTTAACTTGATTCATTTTGTCTCTGAATGATTAACTTGATTAGAGAAAAGGAAAATATTTTACGATCAACACCCATCAACGTTAAAAATGAGCAAAAAAATTTGAGTAATCAGATACTTACTCTTGAACTGCGAGATTTTCCCCCTGACAGGAAGAAAAAAATCAGTTTGTTGGCTGGGCAGTATGCTAAAAAAATTTAAAGTGGAACTTTAATGTATTCAGACAAACTTGGTAGTTTTGCATTTACATCTAAATCTGCCAACAAATAATAGTTTGTCACAGCACTTGTAAGCAAACATATCAATCCGTTGAGTTCATACCTTGAAACATATTCATTTCATCTAATTTTCAATTAGGTAAATTTAGTGAATTTAATACCAAATTTTGTTGTTCCAGACTAAAAATTGAAGTTGCTAAACTTTAATAATCTGGATTGAATTAATCGCGCTTTGAAGTCTTTAGATATGATGTTGAAAACGCAAAACGATACAATGTTCGGTGGCAAATTGTCGCAAAATTGCACTGAAATGTTTTTTAAAAATTCTTAAGGCTAAAAGTGTCTTGAGCTCAAAAATATAATTTCAGCTTCGATAATAAATTGCTTTTGACCAGATTTTGCAAGATAAGATGATTCAAAAGTTGCTAACTTTAACAAATTACAATTACTTACTTTTTTCTCCGAAATTTCTAATGTTTTGAAAATTTCTGGCTTCATTTTCAACACATTTTTCATTGGAACACTAAAAGCAGTCAAAGCAGAACTTTTCCGTGAGAATAACAGAAAAAGCAGTGTTTTTTCATTCATAGTTTTGAAGAAACAAACTTGATTAAAAAAATTGACATAAAAATGTGGAAAAACTTTGTATTTGAATGTGTTTAGTTTTTTTTTCTTTCTTTTTTGTTTTCCACGCCAAACTAATTACTACAAACAAATAATCATAAGAGAATGTTGCGTGATATGTCATATTAGAGCGCGAGCGCTTACAGCCATAATACGACGGACATTTGAAAATTTCAAAAAAAAACTTCCGAATGTTGAGAAAAACCAGCCTGAAAAAGTTTTGGTGTTTCGTTTTATTTCGAGCGAGTAAAGCGAGCAAGCAGGATTAGTAATGCTTGTTTAAATGTTTTTAAAAGCCTATAAAACTTAAAACTTAACATGTAAAAAAGGAGTGTTTTAAGTATTTTCATTGCAATTTAGGTTTTTTAAATTCAATGACAAAAGCTATCAGAAGCAACATATAAGTTAACCTAGACAGCAAAATCTTAGAAAACTTCATATTTCTTAAAGCGCGCGCGTGTGTGTACGAACGTGTGTGTGAGTGTGTGCGTAAGTGCGCGTTGATTTTTGCATCGAGTTTTTGAGATTAAGAAAACTTAGAGATATTAGCAGAAGCATAGTGAAAGTTTTTTGAATGAGGTGCATCGAGTTTTTCCATTCGAGTTTTTGAGATTAAGAAAACTTAGAGATAATAGCAGAAGCATAGTGAAAGTTTTTTGAATGAGGTGCTCATCAATTCAAAAAAAAATGATGTGATGTTAATTCATTTTTTCTCTACCACTCATTAATTTTATAATAGAAAATCTAAAAGAGAAGCTTATAGGGTTTAAGATCAATGTTTATCAACGCTAAAACCAAGCAAACAATTGAGTTGTTCAGACATATACTCTTGAATACGTACGAACAATAGTGAGAAAAATAATAGTCTGTTGGCTAAAGGGGAAAAGTTCAAAGTGGAACACTGGTTTATTCAGACAAACTTGGTTTCTTTTTCATTAACATTTCAATCGGCCGTCAAAGAATAGTTTGTGATAGAATTTGTGATCAAAGATGTCGACCCGTTGGGCTCAAACGTTTTAAAGTTTTTATTTCCATTAATTTCCAATTTGGCAAACATTACTGGTTTTATTGTTGTTCTGGACTAAAGTTTAAAATTGCCAATTTATAACGTTCTGGATTAAATTATTCGGGCTTCGCAGCTTTCATGTATGATGCTGAAAACGCAAACCGGTACATTGTTGAGTGGCAAATTTTCGCAAAATTGCTCTTAACTGATTTTCTTCTTCATCTTGAAGCTATTAATCTCTTAAGTTCGAAATTATATTTTCATCTTTGATAATATTTTGCGTTCGACCAAGTTTTGCAATAAAACTTGTTTCAAAAATTGCCAAATTGAACAAATTAGAATGACTTATTTCTCGCAAAATTCAACTTTTGTCTGAAAACAGCTGGCGTCGTTTTAAAACGTTTTTCGTTAGGACAATAAAAAGACAGTCGAAGCAGTTCTATTCCGTGATCAGAGCAGATAAAAATCATTCATAGTTTTTAAGCAAGAAAATTGATGTTTTTGTTCCGATCTGTTGAAAAATGGGCAAACATTTTGTATTCGGATGTGTTTTACTCTTCTTTATTTTTTTTGATTTTCCATGCAAAATCAGTTACCACAAATAATCACTAGACAAAGTTGCGAAATATATCATATTGAAGCCCTTACAGTCATAATTCGAACGATTTTTTGAATTTTCCAAAACTTTTTTCCAGTGTTAAGAAAAAAACCGTAATGAAGTATTTGGTGTCTCGTCTTAAATCGAGCAAGTAAGGCGAGCGAGCAGGTTTCGAATAGTTTATTTTAATGAGTTAAAAGCTTACAAAAGTTAAAATTAAAATGCCAAAATTTGCGTTTTTTCCACCAATTATTTCAATTTTTTGAGATTAAGAAAACTGAGAGATATCAGCAGGAGCGTAGTGGAAGATTTTCGAATGAGGTGCTCGTCAATTCAAACACTACGATGAGATGTTACTTGTTAACCTGATTAGTTCTCTACCACTTAGTTTTCTCTACCACTCATTAATTTTATAATAGAAAAGCTAATAGAGGCTAAAATCAACATTTACCAACGTTAAAATTAAGCAAAAAAAGTTGATTTCTTCGGAATTTTACACTTGATCAACGAAGTTTTTCCCCTGATAGTGAGAAAAATAATAGTTTGTTGGCTTGGTAGTATGCTAGAAAATTTGAAAGGGAACGTTAGTTTAATCAGACAAACTTGGTGGTGTTTCATTAACATGAAAGTTGAACTTCAATCAATAGACTGTGATACAACATGTGATTACAGATATCGAACTGTAGGTTCCAAACGTTTTAAAGAATTTAATTCAATGAATTTCCAATATGGTAAATGATAGGTTTATTGCCAATACTTGTTGTTCTGGACTAAAGTTTAAAAATGCCAAAATTATTGATCTACATTATATTAGGCTCGCTTTGAAGATTTTAGATATGACACTGAAAATGAAAAACGGTATATTGATTGGCAAGTTTTCGAAAAATTGCTCCAAATTGATTTTTCTACATAATCTTGGAGCTATCAATTTCTTGAGCTTTAAAATTAGTTTTCTTTCTTTTTTGTTTGTTTTCCACGCAAAATCAGTTAACACAAATAATTATAAGAGAAAATTGAGAGATATATCATATTGAAGCCCTTACAGTCATAATTCGAACAATTTTTTTTTAATTTCCAAAAAATTTTCCAGTGTTGAGAAAAACCTTTGTGACATTTTTGGTGTCTCGTCTTAAATCGAGCGAGTAAAGAGCGAGCGAGCAGTTTTTGCATAGATTATTTTAAGAGTTAAAAGCTTATAAAAATTTTAATTAAATTTTAAAAACCGAGTTTTACTCCATTACCATTCGTTTTTTGAAAATTTTAGCGCCTTTTTGGAATCAACTAATTCAAAAAATCAAAAAAAGTGCAAAACAGTTAAGAATTTTTTTTTCGTTTTTCCTCTCCTTTTTCTTCAAAAATTGTTCATCAATTTGCTTATTTATGATGATATTTGAAAATGCTTGTTTCTCTAGTTTTTTGTTCAAAGCCTTTTATCACACCACGACCTAAAAGTGACACTAGTTTGAAAAATTTTTGGAGTACTTTTCAAAACTATTGTCCGAACACTGAGCAGCTACTTGCATAATAACGGGCTATTCTTGTTTGTAAGTTGTAAACAATTGGTTTTTCTAGCTTTTTTCTAACTTATCAAGTGTAACCAATAATTTATGCGTTTTCTAGATAAAATAGACTTGGACTTTTATACCATTTGATCAATGTTTTTTGTAAGTTTCCAATCATATAATTAACGTGTTTGTGTTCACTCGGTCTACCACAAAAGAGATTGATGAACGCTAGTGGATTTATAAAATACAAAAATATGTACAGCGCTCAAACTATTGAGCTGAAAAAGAAAGCAGACTTGAGTTATCAACTATTCCAATTTTTGATCTAATTACGATTTCATATTGTCTTCACTCAAAACAGAACGCATGATCATAGCATGGTTTGTTCTGTTCCAAGCGTTTTTGGTGATCGTAGTGTTTGTATCTGACAGAACTATGAAATCCCACATTGAAGATTCAAACATAAAAACATTGGAAAAAATCAGAAGATCAATTCCTCTAAAGTTCTAGGAAACCAAAAGTAGCTATTTTGGACTAATAACGCTTTATTGCTCAGACCACCAAAACAGGGAGATTTTTTTGATGTCAAGAAATTTTGGTCAGAAAATAGACATTTTTCGCTCCATTGCGAATTGTCAGCAAAAATGCGAATTACCTACTATTGCGAATTATTTACCCTTTCATTACCCACAAGTTGGCCTTAAAAAATTTCTTGGACACGCTTGTTAAAATTTGATGTTCGTATCTACTCTTCATACCTCTCAGTTGCTTCCGAAAGCAATTTAACCAATTTTATGCTCGCTTTTTGATGAACACAACTCTAAGAACCGTAAGTACAATTGATTCAAATTTTTGGACAGTTTTCAAATTAAGGTATGTATGGTAAACTTTCTTGCTCTAGTGAGGTTTTAATTCGGGCTAGATGAACTCGTCAATTAATATGTGCAGCAATTTTAAAATGTCTGGAGCAAAGCAGAAGAAAAAATGACATCAAAACGTGTGATACGATGCAACTCCGGTGCGATCACCGAAAGTACTTCGAGTTCCAGTGTATCTCCCCCCAACGCAACACTTAGTCGAAAAGAATTACCCGGACGAGAAGTCAAACCTGTAAGCAAAATCCTAGATTTTGATCTAAGAAAAGTTCCCTCGTACAATGAGACTGGCATAAATGTGATTGAAAACAGTAACTCAGACAATACACATGTAAAAGTCAAACCTAGAGCGTCTGTACGTTCTTACTCTAGTCCAGCTAGTCTGTATTCCACTAAGGTAGCTAAATTTGAAGTTCAATTACAGAAGTTGACGCGAGAGCTGATAAAGCTAGAAATCCAATGGCCTGGCGGAGGTAAAGTCAAGTTCAGCGACCATGGTTCCTTGAAACAGTTTATGGAAAGCCAGTACCCAGACTGGAAAAATCCAGGAAAGAAAACGTCAATACCATGTGTGAGAATCCCGCGAATAATGATACGAAATGAGCAGCTGAGTAAAAAACTTCAGAAACACTACAAGTCACTCCAAAAAGGCGAAATAGGCGAGAGTAAGTTGTACAAACTGTTTGTGAACGAAGTCTCAACGGAGGATTCGGGACTCATCATTCTACCAAATGTTGACGGAAGTCACATTTTTGAAGAAGGGGGGCCTGGTAGCGTAGAAATTGACATGATAGTTGCACATCCAACCAAAGGCATTTTTGTGTTTAGCGTGAAAAACGAGCAGAAAGTAAATCTTCAAAAACTGCTGTTGGATATGCGAAAGCACACTGATTTCGTTCGCTACTTATTGTGTTACAATAGCCGCTCTGAACACCCACCTGGGAAGAACTCTAGCTTAGAGACAGTTGATGAAGTTCCGATTCACGCAGTCTTTTGCTACCTTCCCGGATTCAAATCGCCGATTGCCAAACTTGCCGAGGACACCAGTTGGTACACTCATCGTCACACTAATCGGCACACTGATCGTGTGATTGTTTTTCAGAAGTCGCATTTTAACGACTTCGCCTCGCAATGGGAAAAGACAATCCTGGAACTCCCAATTATGAGAAAAACTGAAAAATTCGACACACTAGTAGCCTTTCTTGCTACCTTGAACTCCATGGAAGGAAACAGCGCTCTGATCCATCACAGATTTTCCTCGGATGGTATTCAATCTATTCAAGTGAAAACAAATGAAATAGAAGGTTGGCTTGAAAAGCAGCTTGATGGAACCTTAGCAGAAGAAGATATCAGCTGCAAACAAGATCTCGTAAAAGCCACAAAGACACTTTATAAAGAAGCAGATAGGCAAAAAACAACTGTTATTCTTTGGACGAAAGAACAGTTGGACATAATTGGTAGAGTTTTCAAAAATCTGACAAATTCTTCAAATGAACACAAGCCGCTGCGCTTAAATGTTAAAGGAGCAAAAGGATCGGGAAAAACAATGCTTATGGTTTTTCTAGCTCAGTTGGCTGAGCGCATCTATCAAAAAGGAGAAACAGGGAGTCGCGTAGTTATATGTGACGGATCAGGTGGAAGAGCTCGTATTCTGTTTTCTAAGCTTGAAAAATTGTTGGGTGGTTCAGATATTGAATTTTGGACGGAACTAGACTTACCTGAAGCGCTGGCGAATATGGGACGGGGCATAATTTTTATTGACGAAGATCCCTTAATCAACAGGTCGATGCAAAAACTGGTAAAACTTTGTTGTGACAAACACGCTCACCTGGTTATTTTCTCCTCCGAGGAGGAAAGACTTACTATTGAAAGACACAGCTACAAACTCACAGAAGTGGCCTTATCACATGCAATGCGGTCTACAAAACAAATGCAGACTTTTTCAAAGAATATTGTCAAAAACATAAACACCGGTGACATTCTGAATGAATTGAACGGTTCACCTTCTCACAATCTAGACGGGACAAATCCACCAGAGATTGTTTATGTTGAATCGGCAGGTGGTTCTGAAACTGAGCAGTTTTTCCAAAAATGTGTTGAAACAGTAATGAGATTTGCTGAATTGTCGCAATTTATGTCAAGCATTCTTGTTGTAATCGATTTCCTTTCACCAAGAAGCCAAATGAAAATCGTTTCCCTTTTGGAGACCAGAAAAGTTCCGATGAATTCATTTTCTTATAAGCTGAAACATGGTGAGCGCAACACACATTTACAAGTCATTCAATTGGAGTCAACCAAAGTGATCAACGGAAGCGAGTTTGGAACTGTAGTTATTTTGCTCGAAAAAATGGTCAACTCTAGTATCACAGAGTTTAGAAAAAGCTTTCATATGGCAGTGACTCGTGCAACCACCAACTTGGCCATTGTTGCAGCTGACAATGATTTTTTCAGCTCTGTTCTTGAAGAAAAAGAGCTTTTGTATGCAGTTCAAAATTTGTGAGGCTTTCTATGCTTTTTTGCGACTTTTGATATTTAAATCACTTGTTTTGATTCGCTCTTTCTCATCATGGAAACCATCAAAATGAAATTTTTTAAAAGTCTTATATTTGCAAAGTTTTAAGGGGGGCGAAAACCAAAGGGCATAATTTTTTGACAAAACAACCTTAAATATGCCTAGAAATGTGGGCAAATTCGGTTTTTGTTTCGTATTTCGAAAAAACGGATGATTTATGCTTGGGCCGGTTTGTTATTCCAAAATTCGAAGAAGAAATGCAATAAATATGCTTGGACTCAGGGGCTGATCTAGAATTTTCTCTCGAGGGGGGGGGGCGGATTTTTAAAAAATTTTCGGAAATTTTGACGACTTTTTTTTTAGTCGACCAAATTGATTTTCGGAGCTCTCCTAAAGCACTAAAAAGACGCTGTTTTGGCCGAATTGTCTGCGCCGCATGCATTTTTTTGAAAAATCTGGTCAAAAAAGCCGTTTTTGGGCACTTTTTGTAAAATTTTCAGAAAAAAAAATTGCGTTTTTTTTGGCGCGCGCTCCCCCTCAAAGTTACTATATATTGGCACCCAAGGCGCCTTTAGAAAAATTTTAAGGTCGGTCGGCCAAAAAATGGATTTCTTAAATAGTACCAAAAGGGGGACCCTTTGGGTCGGCAGGGGGTCGAATCCCTGAGAAGAGACAACGTCTGCTCCCCCGCCCCCCCCCCCCCCCCCCCGCTTCCCCTAAATCCGCCACTGCTTGGACTATTTTTTTATTCAGTCAATTTTTGATATTTCTACTAGGATATAATGACAATCATTTTGTAGAGCATCTGAAAAACATTATTATGTGGAGCTCAATTGTAGAAAAATTTCACCTGTGGCAAATTTTTGTAAATTTACTATTTTGGCCAATTTGCTATGATTGATATTAAGAATAATATATTGCGTTCTTAAACCAAGCATAATTGGCGGGTTGTTAAGTTTTAATTTGAAGGAATGCAAACCATTCGGTCCCATTATAAGAACAGAAAACAGTTCACATTGGCGTGTGGGGGAATAAATTGAATAAGAACATTTTTTGTTCCGTCTTTCGAAGAAAGAGAAAAATATTTGAGCTCGTTGTGATCAAATTTTTTTATACCACAAAGCAAACAAGACTGCTCGTATCAGGGCGAAGCCCTGAATGTTCCGACTGCCTTTTAAGGTTTATGGATCAGTAATAACATTTAAAAATTATATGAAATAGAACAAAATGAAAAAAAAATTTTTTTTTCTAAATATTGTAGTTTTTTATGAAAGCTTTCCCCCCACACGCCATATAAAGTACAAAAGGATAAATTTCGCTCTTTGTAACAAACCAATTATGGCAAATAAGCTTCTTTTAACCAATTTGGAACGATTTCTAAGACGGATTAAATCTCCGCTTACGCGTTAATAGCGCGAATTATATCGCGCGTTAATTGTCCCAAATTGGTCAAATTGGTCAAAATGGCAATCTTTAAACCCCCATAACTTTACGAAAAATGATCACAGGTGAAATATCTTTTCAAATTTGAGCTCAAGGCAACAATACCTTTCGAATGATATACAAAAATTCCGTCAAAAATGGCTAGTTAAAAAGTCGAAATTTGTCTGAAGAAAAAAAAAACCCACCTCGAGCACAAATATTCCGTTACTTTCGTATCGAAAGTCGGAACAACAAGACTGCTCGTATCAGGGCGAAGCCCTGAATGTTCCGACTGCCTTTTAAGGTTTATGGAGCAGTAATAACATTAAAAAAATAAAAGTAATAAAACAAAATGAATTTTTTTTTTAAATTTGAAATTTTTAAATAAAAAATCATCCCCCCACACGCCATGTAAAGTACAAGAGGATAGATTTCGCTACTTGTAACAAATCACTTATGGCAAATAAGCTTCTTTTAACCAATTTGGAACGATTTCTAAGACGGATTAACTCTCCGCTTACGCGTTAATAGCGCGAAATATATCGCGCGTTAGTTGTCCCAAATTGGCCAAAATGGCAGTCTTTAAACCCTTGTAACTCCACGAAAAATGATCACAAGTGAAATATTTTTTCAAATTTAAGCTCAGGACAACAATACCTTTTGAATGATATAAAAAAAATCCGTCAAAAATGGCTAGTTAAAAAGTCGAAATTTGTCTGAAGAAAAAAAAACCCCACCCCGAGCACAAATATTCCGTTACTTTCGTATCGAAAGTCGGAACAACAATTCCAAGCATATATATTCCTCACTTCCTTCGAATATCTGTAAAATAAAACCCCGACAAAATAATCTTTTTGTTTCGAACATTCAGAAAATTTCCGCTCTTTTATTCAATAGAAAGCCTTCTTTCTGTACAAGACGCGTCAGAAATTTTCAAGTTTTAAGTCATCTCTCCAAGTATATCACGTCGTTTTTGGAAATGTGTTGTCAACAAACCAGTATTGCTGTGATTATTGGCAATATTCCGGAATTGGATTGTCTGAAGAAGCCAGAATTGGTTGAGCCCAGACTAAATTGGAGCTCGACTGATGGAGTAAAACGTTACACGTTCAACGGAGACAAGACAGTTTTCGTGATCTCGAATATAGCAAAAGCTTGTTCAAAGGAAGCACTAAATTGGTGCCAAAAGCAGAACATTTCTGTTTTCTTAGTAGTTATTGGGAATAAAATGGACATGATTGCAGAAAATCTGATGCGGATATTATTTATTAAACGGCAGGTCATATTATCAAATGATTCGTTTATAAGTTTGACGCGCTCTTCAGAATCCGTGGTTGACATTAGTAGCTTCTCGAAATGCCTCATTCAACAGACACTCACCAATTGTGAGAACCCACTATCAATGCCATCGCCAACAGAGACCACAATCGAGGCTGTCCAGGTCCTGTACACTTGGAAAGATTTAAAAGGAATGATAGACGCAGTAGAAGATCTTGAAGACGATGATAACGAGTATGACCGGTTCGCATTCAACACTAAAGCGTATGATTTTCTATTCCGAGAGTACACTCAGTATTTGAAAAGTGGTCACCGAGAACAAGCAGTAGCTCTAAGAAAAGATGCTTGCGATTTGTTGCTTACAAATTGCAAGTTGTGCTACAAAATCTCATCAATATTTACCTCCGGAAGTCTCACTCACTGCCAGTTTTTGTTTCTCAGTGTTATACTTGCAAAATTTTCGATATTTTTCAACACAAAATCTTTTATGGGTTATAAAACGCTCATTGAAGTGTGTACGACTTCAATTCAAAAATTAGAGCACCAAAAATTACGCTATGGGAGTGAAATTAGTGAAACAGGGAATCGTGACCAGATTCCGAACGATTTGATCTCTAGGGATCGTTTGAATGTTGGACAAGTATATTTAATTAAGCCAAACTATCGAAATCTAGAGCGACTGAAATCAATAGGAAAGTTTCACCTAATTGGTAATTACAGCTGCACGCACCAGGTATGTTTTTTTAGTAATTTCGACAATCAGCATATATCTCATAACAATTGATATCTACTAATTTAGATTTTTATACGGCAAAAATTTGACAAATCAGAATCTAAAAAAAGTCGCAATCATCCTGAATATTTATGATAGGGTAAGTTTTGGCTTTTTTATTCGATGTGAAAATGGAAAAATTGCTGATCTCTACGACACTTCAGCAATCAAAACATGTGAACGAAGCGGACGTTCATTTTAAACACCGGGTTTCTTAGCAAATAATTGTCCACAAAAAATAATCCTTCGGTGGCAAATTATGGTAATCTTTTTTCCTTTTAGAGAACTGATCAGCTGAAGGAGGCGTTCACAGAAATATTCACCGTGGAGTCACAAATCCAGAAATTCACAAGCGAAATAGAAACGCTTTTGACAGATTATCGAAACAACTTGTACGTAGAGACAGTATCTGTTCTGGCAGAGAAGCGGTCACAGATAACCGAAAAATGCCTTGAAGCTGCCCACTATTGCTCATCGACTTCACTTCCAGTTAACTTATTCTGTTGGGAAGCTGCCAATTTTGCAATCAATGGAATGTATATAAATCCCTACAACACAGATTGTTGTGATATTTTGATCACATTGTTTCAAAGAGAGATAGGTCTGGTGAAAGAAAAGAAACAGCAATATTTGAACTCAGATGAAGAAATTGTTTTAATGCAATTAGTTGAGAGAGACATTGACGCAATTCTTTCAATTGAAAAATATTTAGGACCGCTGTAGTTTAATTTTTAGAGCCAATTTTCTGATCAAAACCAATAAACGAACCAAAATTACCTCTATAAAATCTTGTGTAAGCAAAAAATTTGAATTGTTTCCAAGTGATAAATTCACTCCGTATTACTTTGCACAAAATTTTTAGCAGTTCATAGTTATGTAATTCTTCAACAGTAGAAAAATTCAGTTTACTGACATATTTGCTTAAATGATTCAAATTTCTTTATGTGTAACCTTTAATTTTTATAAGACATCTCAGAATTATTTTTAGGTGTTTCATTTTTTTCTATCAGTTGATGCGTGAACGACGACTTCATTTTGCAGAAAATAAAAAATTATAGGCAAAAGGAAGCTGTTTCTTTATAGTCAAATTTTTTTCAGTCCACATAGAAGAGGCCCACAGTACTGGCTTAGTTTTTTCTTAGGAAGTTTTGTGGTTTTTGACTAATACTTTGTTACCTTTAACTTTTTCAAGATGAAATGTTCGATATTTTCGAGTTTTCCTATTTTTTAGCCAATTATTGTTGTATATGTAGAAAATTTAAAAGATGACTTTTTTAACGAAAAAGCCCACTTTTAGTTTTTGGTGTGTCAAGATTAGTTTTTTGCTTGCTAACCAAAAGTTGGTTTCGTTTGAGACTTTTTGGCGGTCTTCTTTTAGACAATTTTAAAAAGATGTCGCTTTTTACTGCATCATCAGCATTGTATAACATGTTTCTAACTTGTCGAGGACTATATTTCTATATCATTTTTTGAAAAAATGAATAGAAGTGGATCCAATCATGACCCCTGTGGGAAACCAAAACTGATTTTTTCAGTTTTTGATTTTTTCTTGAGTTGTATGCATATTTTTTCTGTTTGCTAAAACCATTTTCAATAAATTAGAAAAAAGGCACCTTAGGTCCGTATGACTTGCATCTATCCATCAAAAAAAAAACATTGTCAACTATGTCAAAACTTTTTTCACATCTATGAATGTGCTCTGGGTTAAAATGTATTGATAATTCCGCTGAACACTATTTTCCTCAATCAGTGATACAGAGCATCGATAGTGCCACGCTTGTATCTGAACCCAAACTGTTTTAAATTGAACTCAACAACTCTGTCAAAAATTTAATCAATCTTTTGAAGATGAGCTGGTAAAAAATTTAGCCAACAATTGGTTATAGAAGGAATTGGTCAAGAACGAGGATGATATTTTTTGTTATGTTCTTCGTGTGCTGGAGTTTTTTTTGCAATTTTTATGACTCCGTAAGTCTGGCACTATAATATTTTGAAAAAGCGCTGTCAACAATTGAGAAACACAGGCTGTAGTTTCTTCCGAACACCTTTTTAATGTTGTATGAGTCGAGCTTTTATATCAGTTTCAAGTTTTAAAATCTTTTTCCAATTTTTTTCTAATTTACATAACAAACTTGATTGAGGGCGAAGCTTGTTTTTCGCCAGACAAATTTTGCAGCGAATGTTTTTGCCAAAGATAGAAAAGTGCTCACTAAATTTGTTTATTTTAGCGTCTTAAGTTGGATCGTCGTTTTTTAAATCTGAACCTGTTAATTTTTTGTACATTTCGATTAAAATTTTAGAATGATTACTTCTTCAACCTTAAAATTTTGTTGGTAAAACGATTTATTGTTTTGGCTCATAACTTGTTGGTTGAATGTTGTTTGCATTTGATATTTTTTGCTCCATTTTGATGTAACAAATTTTTTGAACTGGTTTAGCAACCGATGATTTTTTTTCACTATCAAAACTTCATGCAGTCTTGAAAAAGCTTCATTAGAGTCTACCAAAGATATATGATCCTTAATTTATCGATACCATGTCTATCAGTGGCACTGAGATCTTCAACTATTTATTTGAACTGCAGTTTATACCAGGGTCTACTGGTATATTTTATTTTTGAATGGCAATTTCTGTTTCTGAATTAAGTTTCAGATCTATTGTTACAGTATAATGATGACTTGTGAAAATGTAAGTAATTTGGTTCAATCTGTTTGGTGGCAGAAAAAAAGTTCGATACATGATTTGTCGTTATATAATTTTCTGGTGTCTTGCTGGCGGTTGGCAAGTTTTGTTTCTTTTTTTTTGTTCAATGTTTTGTCTATATTTATCATATAAACATGTTTGCGAGTTAAATGCGATGGGTGGTATATGAGTCCGCAAAAAATATAAACCTCAAAACGATATTGCAAAGTTTTTTAAAATTTCGAATGCTCCGAACTTCGATTTTGTTGTAATTTATTTTTTGAGTACCTTGAAACCGGCTTCTGCAGTGAAAAGTATACCTAATCCTCATCCTCTTTTCTTTTTTTTGAACGCTCAATTTGGAATACCCACGTAAATGAAATAGACGAAATGAGTGATTTTCCGTCAATCACCTTTCTCTTATACCTATTGCTTTGGGCTTTCGACCAAAGTTTCAAAATCGTGGGTTTTTTGGAAGCAATCCTATATTCTGTGGTACATATCGGCAGCTAGATTACATACATCATTGCCCCAAATGAGTCTTTGTTTATCCTTTCTTGTGAAAACTCCGAACAACGCTCTATAAAATTTTCTAGTTTTGATTGAGTAGTAATTTGAATTAAGCAATCAAAATCATGTTTCATTTTTACTCGTTGTATAATTTATAATTTCTTTTTGCTTTTTGTACTTGTTTTTGGCATTTACGGACAAAAAATTTGATGCAAAACGAAAATTTTCTTGCAGATTGGTTAGTAAATTAGGAGGTACGTTTTGTAATTATCAACGCTGTCATTGCTAATGATTATACGGTCATCACTAAATCAATTTATGAAATGATTGCTGTTAGAGACAAACTTGGTGAATTAAAATCCTTGTGCTTAAATACAAAAGCAAGCAATTTGCAAATTTAGCTTGGATTTCAATCAGTTTAAGCTAAAACCATTGGAAAACCAAAACAACAAAACACCTTTAACGAGCCTTCAAACTCAAGGAAAGTCTACTGATTTCCCTTTTTGGGCATCGGGTGAACTGCTTTCCGCAACGTATTTTTAGATAGTTCTACCTATGGAGGAAAATTTCCAATAAAAACTCATTGTAAGACCTTTGTCACTTTCAACTCAGAACCTGACATTTTAACAACTTCTGCTCTCGAACCACCGTTCGCATTTTTTGCATCTTTGTTCCACTTACATTTTACTTATGAATCAAATCAGAACTGTTTTGCGTTGAATTCAAATGACATAAAGACAAACCCAACTGAATTTTTTTCTCAAAAGTCTTTTGATCAGATCGATAACTCTTCGATCGCCATTTGGACACTACCAGCATTCACCTCTTCTCAACAACACACAAGTAACAGATTCGAACATGAACCCGACTTTTGCTCACGAATCAATGTCTTTTTGCTTCAAAAAATCAGTACCTAAGCAACAGACTGCAACTTACGACGGTGATCCTCAAAAGTGGCTACCTTGGTTAGGTGTTTTCAACTCCATCATCGATCAAGCACGGATGAGTGATACCGAAAAATTGATTCACTTACAATCACTGCTAAAAGGCGAGGCTGCCCAACTCATTAGTGGTTATAGTTGCAATGGAACCACCTTTAAAACAGCCCTGATTCGTCACAAAAATCATCCGGCAACCCATTAAGAACAGTGAAATCTTTCCTTCATAGGCTCAACAATTTCAGATCACCTAGTCTGAAGCAACTTGAAACGTACATCAATTTATCAATGTTTCTTTCTACTCTAGTAGGCACTTTCAAGGAGCTATACTTTGTTCATGACATTTGTTCTACAACAAACGTAAATTTGGTTTTTGCAAAACTTCTTTATCCAGTTTGGCCATAACGACCCAGATATACTATTATTAATGCGAAATCTAAACCAAATCTTGAACATTTATTCGTTTGGACGCACATATATGCTCAAGCCTGAAGGCGAAACTTTTTTTCCAGTCGAACTTTTCGATAATAACGTTCGATCAGAGTGAAAATAATCACTTCGGCTCTGGGAGAAACCAATTCATAAAAAACCGCCATTTTCATAACAATTTTTCAACTTTTTCTTATCAAAACAGAAAGTTTGATAAGCATAATTCACATGGAAGTTCTAACAGAGAGTTTGTGAAGTTTTGTACCAAAAACGAAGACTGCAACTATTTGAAGTCGCGGTTTGGAAATTCTATTCAGACGAGAGCATGTCAAAAAGCACCATCTGTGTTTCAATTGCTTAGGAGCACTTACAATCAAAGATTGTTCATCGGATAAATCCTGCAAAGAATGCAGTGGAAAACAGCATACACTCCTTCATGAAGATAAAGGTACAAGAGTGAGAAACAAAACACTTCTTCAAAAACTGTTCGAATAACTGGAAAGTGACAAGTTGCATTTCTTCTTGTTCAATTGTCTTCGCGAGACCGATCAGTCAAAATAAAATGGTTGCCTTGATAGTGGATGCTTTCAAAGTGCAATATTGGAATCAACCGCACAAACACTAGGTCTTGAGCGTAACGTTTTTGCCTCTGTGTCCGTTGGTGGATACCATATCACAAAAGAGATCAGGTGTGCTCAATACTGGTCTGCGCAAATCCGCTCATTTAAATCTCACCTGTCAAAACTGTTTTGGCAGAAATCATTGCAGTTCCATCATTCAGCATGACTCCAATGCACACAACACAACTGAACAAACTGTGACGGTGAACTCACGACACATTACTTTCCCGAACATTGAAGACAATTCAGTTGCTCCAATTTTTGCCATCGTTTACATCGAGATTAATCAATACAACAAAATTGTAAAGGAAACTAAAAACGTACCATTGGACTGTTGCTGGTAAGCATTGCGTTATACCCAACAATAAGTCAAATATAAAATTGACAGAGATACATCAACACTCTCACCTTGACAAGAAATTGTTCAAAAACGTTCAAGACTGGATGAAAATAGACAGTTACGTAATTGGTTCAACTAAGAAATCTATGTGTAACAAGGAAAAAGAGCTATGACTGTTTGCGAAAATACCACGACACTTGTTCATAGACACTAACAAATTGCCTTGCTTTGGAAAACAGACACTTTCATGCCCAATAATCGTTGGCTTGCATAAAAACAGCTTAAATCCCTCAACAACAGGCTTCAAAAAAATGATATTTTAAATTAAAAGTACAACGAAATCGTCGAAAAAGCACGGGATA